TAGCTGATGTTAATGGACATAGTCGTCATGTATACTGTCACATGGAGACTCTGTGTGGTAAAGGAGGAGGCTGGAGAAGAATAGCTAGTCTGAATATGACTGATCCTAATGAGAAATGTCCTACTCAGTTTAGAACTTATGGAGTTGGTGCTTGTGGTAGACCAGTGACTAATAGTGGTAGCTGTGTTGGTATAACATTTCCATCAAGAGATATAAAGTATTCACAAGTATGTGGTAAAGTCATTGGATATCAGGTTGGAAGAACAAATGGTGCAGCTGCTCGTCATGCTAGCAAGGATATTAACTCAGCATACATTGATGGTATTAGTCTAACACATGGTAACCCAAGGAAACATATCTGGACATTGATTAGTGGACATACAGGTACTGCTGCCAGTGATTGTCCTTGTGCTAGTCATACACCTTATCCAGTTCCATCATTTGTTGGTTCTCACTATTATTGTGAAGCTGGTTGTCACAATACACGTGCATCTAAAACTACATTATATTCTTCTGATCCATTATGGGATGGTAATGGTTGTGGTAGTAGTGAGACCACTTGTTGTCAGCGTACTCTTATTCCTTGGTTCTATAGATCCTTTGGTTATTCTACTACTGATAATATTGAGATGAGGTTATGCTGTGATGAAGGCACCAGTAATGAAGATGTTGCCATGAGAGAATATGAAATTTATATAAAGTGAATCAACAATTTATGTACATTTGCTACATTTTAATTATTGGACACATTTTTAGTTAAGTTTTTAGAGCTAAGTTTGTTTAGTTTTTTGATAATTTAAAAGTAATTAATTACTTTTGTGAACGAAAGAAATGAGTAGTTTTGCTATAAGCAATGTACAATTGCATTACTGTGCTTCGCAGGTTGCTTAACCCAATTTTCTTACGTCCTGTTCACGTGACATGTATTATTAGTATGGGGAAAGTCACGTGATTGACGAGTTTGCAAGGTCAAGCAACCTGTAAAGCACAGTATAAAAGGCTCATTTTTAAGGTTGTCTTCATTTTTATTCTATTCCACTGGTCCTTTGTATTACACTTTATTTATACATGTACATGTATGTACATGCATCAGTACACATTGTCATAATCTTTATGACTCAACACATGACATATGCAATGTATGCTGTGTATTTGAATATCACAATTAGTTTTTACATTAGCCATATTTCAGGCATCAATCCTTACTGTGTAGTGTATAATGATCATTAATTGTCTGTGTGAATGAGGCTTAAGACTAAAGGATTTGGTTATCTTTGATGCTACTAGTACAAAGGAAGGGCTGGACTGAGGGATTTATGTAGGACAGCTGTGGAGTGAGTGAGAGGCTTGAACTCTACAAACAATGGTCATGTTCTTTAATTGACTACTAACCAGTAAGGACTGGACTAATGCAGTACCTGATAGTAGAGTATTAGGAGAGGGTTCATTATTAGATTATAATGTGGTTTAAAAGGTTGAGGCTATAAGAGAATAACATGTCTAGTCATACTGTCTGCACAATCCATTAATTGTGGTAATATGAGAGAGAGATCTGAGAAATCACTAATTACTTACTTTGTGGCTTGTTTTAATGCATAAACATGCAGTGAGACTATAAATAAGTCTGTATGAGTGTTTCGTCTCACAGTTTCATTACAGCGAAGAACAAAAATGTATTCTATTCTACTGGTTTTTTGTATGACCTCTTATTCATTATCTGCCAGTAGTACACTTGATGGTACTTGTGTTAATCCTACTACTTTGTCTTTCATTGAGAATTCACTGACTAATATCAGTGATGAGCTTAAAGGATCATCTAATGGAGTGAGTGAGAGTCTCTCTAGTGTCACTAGTCTCTTTCAACTCTCCTTCCTTAAAGAATTGATTGGATCTTACAAAGAGAAGTCATCCAATAGCAGTAATGAAGAAGGATTGGCTATTTTGAAAAGAATGGAACTAATATTGAACACATCCACTGCTGACATCACTTCTAAATTAGAGGACACCAATGCTAGACTGAGTGCCATTGAACAACAGCAACAAGATATTCCTTTAGCCATTAGTTCACTGCAATCACAAGTGTCTTCTCTCTCATCTGATCTTAACAAGTTGTCTCGATTGTTAGAAAAACATGTTAATGTGAGTTTAGATGATGAAGAAGAGGCTCCTTCATCTCCTCTCCTCTCCTCATGTGATGCTATCCTCAGTAAGTGGCCTAACAGTCCTTCAGGTTATTATAATCTAGCTGATGTTAATGGACATAGTCGTCATGTATACTGTCACATGGAGACTCTGTGTGTAAAGGAGGAGGCTGAGAAGAAT